AGGTACATTAAGGGTTCGGATAACACTGTCGCCCGATACCCTATCTCGTACTGAAATGTTAAATCGTGCATACTGATGCACTCAGTCAAGATTTGATCGCCGACGAACAGGAAGCGGACATAACTCTGAAGCATGTGTTATCAGACACTTCTTTAGAACTTCAGAAATGTCAGCTCCTTTTAGTAACAAGGTCTTATACTGTGATGTAAATCCAAATCTCCAAGACCTTATATTCCTCCGTCTCTTCAGAGACAGGTTTTTGACCACCTACGGACTCTCACACCCCTAGCAAAAGAGCCACAGTTAAGTTAATTTCGGACCGTTTCGTTTGGCCGAATATGAGCGTTCACATTCAGCGAATGGGTTAATACTTATTTACAATGTCAGAAGTGTAAGGTGCATAGACACACAAAATCTCCGTGGGCACTTTCAGTGAGCCTGATGCTCGTTTTACTAATATACACCTGGACTTAGTTGGGCCCTTACCAACCTGCCCACGGTTATTCCTACCTTCTAACTATAGTGGATCGTTTTTCCCGATGGCCTACTGCCATCCCTGTCAAAAATACCACTGCTGTGACTGTGCATAAAAGCTATTTTAGCGACTGGATTTCGATTTTGGAACTCCTAAAGTGGTTACTACAGATAGAGGAGCACAGTTCCAGTCGTGTCTTTTCAGGGAATTCACTGAACTCCTTGGTGCAAAGCACACGCGTTTACAGCGTATCACCCCTGTGCTAATGGCCTGGTGGAGCGATTCCGCCGCACCCTTAAGGCCGCTATCAACGAAGCATGAGAATAATAATTGAATCGATGAATTACCTCTCATCCTTCTATCGTTAAGAAATATTCTTAAGGATGACTTGAAATGCTCCCCTGCAGAGCTTGTATTTGGTACTTCGTTATCTTTACCTGGCCAATATTTTTCACCAGCTGTGACCCACCACCAGTTTCTTCCTCTTTTATTCAGGACTTCGCCTTAAAATGGCAAACTTATGCTATACACCACCGCGGCACTGCCAGTGATATCTATTTACCGTTCCAGCTCAAGGACTGCGAATATGTATTTGTATGCGTAATGACTCTGTTAAAGCGGCCTCTTACGCCGCCTACACAGGCCCATACCGCGTTCTTAAAAGCGGACAAATATTTCCAAATACAAAAAAGGTATTCACACCGACAACGTTTCAATAGATCGGTTGAAACCTGCCTTTATAGAAAACCGTCGTCTCATACTACTTCCCAATCAACTCCGCAAGTTCAGGAGAATTTTAAGACACCTGTTTCTCTCGACAAGCCTAAGTGTACCAGCTCGGTCGAAGAGTCACCTTTCGAAGAAATTTGAAACATTCTACTATTATTAGTCAAATGTCTGCGACATTTTGATCCAGGGGAGAACTGTGTGGAATAATGTATTATTCCATCTACGACATTTTACTGTGTGAAGTTGCCTCCCTTTCTCCGACACTCGTGTGTGTGTGCGCGTTTTGACACCCCCCTTTCTCCCTCGTTCGGTCTAATACAGTAGTAACTGCTTTGGTCACCAACCAAGCGACTTGCTACTACTGTTTATGCAAATTAGATTTTTGAAATCTTGCGCGAAAAATTTGTGGCGTCAACGACAAACTGTTGTTTCAAAAAAAGTCAGTTGGTGTTCCAGACTCTGACCTGGGCAGACTCATTTTTATCCACGTCAATATTTCAGTTTGACTGACGAAGGATATCTTACTATGCGACCACAAATAATTAATTCCTCGTCCCTTCTGCTGGTCATTCAAGAATCCTTTTCTGAGACGATGCAATACCAAATAATTAATTTTTCGTCCTTTTGGCTCGTCATTCATAATCATTTTTCCGAGACGATGCAAATACCAAATAATTAATTTTTCGTCCTTTTTGGCTCGTCATTCAAAGCCCTCCTCCGAGACGATGCAGAACATACAAAACAATCCGTCGTCCACTTTGAGTCTCGTCAGAAATCTGTTTTGAACCAGTACACAAAAAAAAAGAGAAAGAAAAAAAAATACGTACATAACATTCACTCACATTACCTAAACTCGCAGTGAGTATTTTTTTCCTTGTATGAATATTACCATGTACATTGACTTACTGGAACCTTTTTTCTTCAAGAACCTTTTCCGCTTTTTAGCCATCTTGCTTTTTTCCATTTTGGCGCGGAACTTTTTCATTGGTCTCTACCACGGGACAAATTACTTGTTTTCCTGTATTAAATAAAGATTACTCTTGTTGAAATCCAGTCTTTTCAGTCATTCGAGGAGGCTATCTTGTTAATATATTTTATTTATGCGTGTGGATTTTTTCACATTTCTTAGTTGTTCATTCACGCATTTTTACTTTGCTTGTAGGCTCGGTAGTTTAGTGTGGTGTCTGGCACAAGGCCACTCAGTATAATCCAGCACTGCACCCTACCGGGTCCGCAACAGACCCTGCGGCAATCACTCCATCCACAGGTCAGAATATATCAGCAATATCGATCTATATCACTATCTCTCACACATGCGCACACACACACACCTGGAGTCAGTAATTTCTAAAATATCTTATAGTTGCATAAGGCACATTTGCAGAGTTTGTTTGAATTTATTAACTGGCTGGAACAGTCACTAATAAAGTATAATTTTTCTCTTTTTCAAATGGTTGATTTATTAAGCAACTTGTGGTCACATCTTAGCAACATTTAATGTTTATGTCTGTAAGTTTGTTATAGTGATGATAATAAACTGTTATTAGCAGCCTTTTATAAGGCAGTAAATTCCCAACTCGATGTTGGTTATTGCCTGAGATTATCACCTGTTAATATTTGCTATTTTTGGACTATTCTCAATTTTGTTGCTATTTTATCATTTTTAAATCATTTTGCCCAATTCCTTTGAACTGAACTTTAAAATAAATTGAAAAAAAAACAAAAAAACATCCTCATTAAAAATGTCTGAGGCATGTTAATGCAATTGTTTGAATAGAAACATTCTTGGTTAAGGTTAAGCACAATCTTTCATGATGCATGTTAATTTAATATTGATTTTTTTTTTTTTTGCAAAGGGTCTTGTCAGAAACATATTTGTAATTAAGGATTATTTATTTTGAAAATTGATATTGAAATATGTGCTAAAAACATTTATATTTTCTACTGTTTTCACACATATGACTATTATTATGCCTTTGCTTTATATTTCTTGCTATTGTAAATGGATGTATATTTTAACTGCCAAGTTCTTATCCAATCCACCGCTTTCTTGTTATTAGTTTTTGGATTTCAATCCTTGCTACCAAAAAGAAACAGATGTGACACATTGGTTACCAGCTGTTTAGTTTAATTAATAACTATGTTCAGAGAGAACATTGATTGAAGCCTGACTATGAAAATATCAATAAAGCAGGATACACTAGTCTAACAATAGCAAATACTATTAAACTCTATAAAATTACTTGCTATCGTGTGTGTTTTTTATTTTTATTTAGCTTACACATCAAATTTATCACTTTTTTAAACTGATGCTTTTCACCTAGTTAATGTTTTATTTAACACGATTTGAGGAATTGAACTAATTTTCCCTTTTACAAAGCAAATCAATCCATTCTGAAAAGATAAGTTATTTTTGCTATGTATAGTCTTATGACACCCTGGAATTAATATAGTGGAGAATATGAAATTTTAATGTAATATTTTCTCTTTAAAATTATCTTGAAAATGTGTAGCAGTATTTATTGAATATTATTGACTTCATTTTACTTGTAGTGTAATCACTATGGATTTTCTCTTACAATCACTTAATGATTACTTCAAAAAGAAGTAATTATTTAAGTACAAGTGTTTCTTGGCATTTCTACAATCAAGTAGAGAAGATCAATTCCCAAATTATATGACATTCAATTTCAAAACAAGTTAACAAGGTCATTGCCAACCACACCTTCGAATATTCTAATACTATGGCTTTTTTATGTATTTATTTTTATGAATAGGCTGCTAAAATGTCAGTCTGATCATGAAACCCTTTTCAATTGAAAAGTCTGGCCAGATTTTGGGAAATAGTTCAAGCTGAGAAATTTTAGAATTACAGGGTTTTTTGTGTGTGTGTTTTTTTATTTTTTTTTTTTATGATAAAAATAAGTTTCTTTGGCATAATCTTTCCTTGATGTTTTTTTTTAATTTTTTTTTTAATTTTTTTTATTTTAGAAATTTAATTTTTCTTCCCAAGTATTTTATCTGTTTGTTCATGCTTCAAAGGTAAAAATTATTGAAGAAAAAAAAACAAACAAAAGAACTTTTCAAAGGGAAGTTAGTTAATGTTTTAAAACTTTTATTCTAACCTTTTTTTTTTTTTTTTTTTTTTTTTTTTTTTTTTTTTTTAAAGCTTTAGACTAGTAGAATTGATTTTCTTACAAGGTCAAGTGCTAATTTTCCTTTTCATTGTGTATGCGTGTGTAGTAAAGGTAATAAATCTGTTCGTATACAATCCCAGTCTTCTTCGACTGGAGTTGAATAAGATTGACAAATTTTATTTTTCCATCAGTTGAAATAAGCTTATTCCCTATATGAGATGACTTTGGATTTTATTGTGTAAATATGGGCATGTAGCCAAGTGATTAGAATGCTCACTTTCTGACCAGGGAGGTGACTTCTTGATATTATTGACCTGGGGAGGCAATTCCAACATGCAGCACCATTAGGTATCTGCAACAGAAATTGGATAGCTGCTCTAGCAGATGAGTGTGCTCGGAAATGAGTAGCTGTAGGTTATATATATATTAAATTTTTGCATCAAAATTCATTTTACTGTAGGTAAAAAAAAAAAAAAATGGATTTTTATTCTTGGAAGATTTTTATTTTTTTATTAAATTTGTTTCTGACTTTTTTTTTTTTCTTTTTACATGTGATTAACTTGTTTTTATAAAATACAATTTGTTATGAGTGAAAAAATTTGGGTTCATGTATGATTCAGTTTTCAAATTTTCTCATCTTTTTTTTTCTTTGCTTTTAGTTTCAGATGCTGCTAATTTAAAAGTGAAAGAGACTAAATTGCCTATTACAGCCAACTATCTGGCTTACCCTCCTTTTCCATACATGAATTCCCAGCAATCGAATGCCCACAGTGCACCACCACCACCACCACCTCCACCTCCGCCCATAGCTCCCAACCCATATTTATTTCCAAATAGTGATAATGGTTAGTATTATTTACTTTGGTCATTCTTTTTTTGATTTTCTTTTTACACCTGTTAATGTTGGTATATTTCTAATTTTAATATTTTTATCCTTGTATTTTGTTATATATTCTAATTATTTTGTGAAATAGTAGCAGGAAGATATTTCACTAATGCCAAAAACAATGCCAGTTAATTTCAAATATTCAAGTTTGGTATATTAAATGTTTACAGATTTTTACTTTTCCATCTTTGTGTCAGTGTTTTGACAATTACAAAAAAAATGTAAAGATATTCTTGTCGTAACTAAATGGCAATTTTTTTTTTTTTTTATGGATGTAATGGGAGTGCTAAGCAAGAGAGAATATTTTCAGTTTCATTTTCCCATTTTAGGTATTATATTCATGATATAGTAAGTCTTAATACATGGATGGAACAGAATAGTTGAAAGAGAGGAATGACAAACTGCCATTATTCTCAGATTTTTATTATATACATACTTGTCACTAATTTGTCTCACACAGAGAAATTATAATGCATGTATACAACAAGCAGTATGAAAAGGGTGAGAGGGTTTTACTTGAAATATTTCCCAAAGGGAAAAAGAGCAGGCTGGTGGTGTCCTCTGTATACATGGTGAGATATGTGGTTTCCTCTGCTCTCTTAACTGGCATGAGCAGTCATAGCTTACTTCTCTGCTGTCTACATAGCAACTAGTGTGGACAAACACATCTTGCCTCCAGATGTGCTAAATAGCCACGTGATCTATGTGAATTCATCTTTTGCTCTTTTCATTCCTACATGTATAACTTATTTTTTTTACCATTTTCTACAGAATATTATTTATTTCCTCTTAATGATGTTTAATTCTTTTAATTTTTACATTTGCCATTGTTTTTTACTTTTATTTCATATCATTTTTCTTTGCCTTAACAATTACTATCAGTTTGTTTCTTCAATCTTAATTTCACTAAAGATTAAAAACAAATTTAGATATTTTGACTATACAAAAGCCACTCTGTTTTTTTTGTTTTTTTATTCTTTTATATAAATCAAAGAGGGAGATTGATTCATTATAAGTCAAAAAGAACTTTGTCCTCTAATTACTTGTCACCAGAAAACTAGAAAATTTTCTTGTCACAAATAGCTACATTTCTTTTCACTAGCAAAGTTTAATGCTCTCAGTGATATAATTTTTGCAGGCCTCCAATCAAAGTTGCAAGAGACAGAATTAACAATTTTACAAAGCATGTAGTTAGAAAGAAATATCAACTCTTTTATGTGAAGGGCTTAATACATTCACATCAAAAAGAATCCTAGGCAGGATTAGAGTATGAGAATGCTAAAGAGGTCTTTCTTTTTCCTCTTCATGTTGAATATATCATCACCTTCTTGAACTGTAAAAGGGGCAAAGAACAAGTTTGATTCAAAATTTATAGTTGAGCCTTTTTAATTACTTAATTCTCTTATTTAAATTATTTACATTTCGACTAATGTCCTTCTCTCTTGAGTTCTCCAGCCTTCTTCTGAGTAAACTTCCAGGTTTATTCAGTCCACTGAAGTAGATTGTTCTCATTCTGCTGTCCATATCTAGGGATAGGACAGGGATTGAACTCTCAATTTCTATGCTATCAAATTCACTAACCAACACTTCAATCCACTTAGCTATTGTCAAACAGAAACTTACTTATCTAAGAAACAAGATAACACTGGCTATTGTATGACCAATTTTCCCATTGCTGGGAACAACTATATTTACATTAATATGGTACTTTAATATGAACTTCACTGTTTTGAACTCTTACATTTTAGGCATCGTCTTTTCTTAATGTAGAGTGTGAGTTTTCCTGATCGTTTTTTTAAACAAAATTTAGTGGGGCAGCACTATACACAGGTAAATTTATTGAAGAGGTTAAAAATCATGCATTTTCAGTAACTGGTTACAATATACACTGGTAAATTTTTTCTGGAGTTAAAATTCATGCAAAAAAACTTCAGGGGTTGCACTATGCATAAAGTTTGCCTATACACAAATCTATACGGTAGTCATTTCTAAGTAGGGACTTAATCCTCTTTGGATGTTTAGTAAATTGCCTGCATTTGAAATTAGTCTACTAGTGACAAAAGATTGCTCAAGATAACTAAAAGGCATGGCAGCAAACGCATTACTGAGAGAAAATATAGATAATTTCATTCTACCCCTTATTAGCCTATTCTTTTAATCGTATTGCCATAAGAATTTTCTTTATATTTGATGTGATTATTTCTGATTTTGGGTTTCTTTTCATTTATGACTGATAATTTAGTGTTAGATTTAAGCATTGAAAGAAGCAATTTTAGCAATTATTAAAGTGGCTGGAAATACATTCACCTGTTCATTTTAATCTTGGCTATTGATAAAATAGTAGGGCTGACCAAACTCTTTAGCCTCAACTAGTCTTGATGAAAGACAATCTAAAATAGTAGAAAAGGCAACAAGAAAACTCATTATCTTATTCAAGCCACAGCAATACACACTTTAGAAATCTTAGAGACAAGAAATAATCTGTGGAGAGCTATGATTGTATCTGTCCTGAAGGGACATTGTTTAAAAATTTTTTTTTTTACACATTAATAAACAAGCATCAAAAGAGAGTAACAAATCCAGGAAAGGGACTAACAGAATTACATTTCTTGTCACAGCTGTTGCTATAAATGACAAGTCATTGCATTTGGAAAAAAAACCCAAAAAACCATGATGATAAACAGTAGCATAGAAATCAATTTCATTATAATGATTTACTAAGTATAGTTTAGATGCGGTGCATCCAGTGAGGATTGAACTCCCTACTCTATTATAATTTTTTTTTTTTTTTTTTTTTTTTAAATCTGACTTTTCAAACCAAAATTCTCTTATGCATATAATCTCTTATTTGTATTTATTTTTTATTTTATTTAGAAATGGTTCTCAAAGCCAGAGTTGCTAATGTGGAAGAGAAAGATTATGTTGAGATTGAATTGGATCGTTCTTCTTTGACATTTGATGCCTTGTTAAATCTAATGTGTCACGAGTTATGCATTGACAAACGTCTTGTACACAAAATCCGTAAATTGCCTGACACAATTATTCGGAAAGACAAAGATGTGAAGAGACTTGTTGATTTCCAGGAGATGGAACTTGTGCTTACGAGCAAAGCTCTCAGTGCCTCATCACGGAACTATGGAGTTGGTGCAGGGTTAAAATCTGAACAAATTTTGTACTGAATGGATGAAGAAGAAAAAAAAAATAATGAAGAGGTAAAACAAAACAATGAAGAAAAGAAGAAAAGCTAGTGACATGTCATTGTGCAAGTCAGCCAAGATTATTTTGTTGTTAGAGTGCAAATGGAAGTATGTTCTGAATTCATTATGACTGAATCATCACTATTTTTTAACAATACATTAGAACAGTATATGCACCTTTCTTTATACTCTCCCTTGAAAAAGAAAAAAACATTGAAATAATTTTAGTTTTTAAGTTATTGTTAAATACAAACATTATTCAATATATTGTGTTATTTTTTCCTTTATTTTTTTTTTATTTCTGATGTTTACAAAAATTAAGTTAAGTCTTGTTTTAATTTAATTCTTTCTTTTTCACTACTAAAATTTTTTTTTTTTTTTTTTCTATTTTTATTTTCTTTCTAAACATTTCAAATCCTTCCTTCCTCTGACATAGTTCCTATAATGTTTGGGTTAATAATTATAAGGTATTTCAAATTAGGACATTTCTTATATTTTGTAAATTTTAGCTGAACTTTGAATATATTGGTGATCTATTTTCTGGCTTTTCTGTACATCTAAATCTTAAGCAAAATGTATAGATAACTGTTAACTTTATTTTTTTTTTCTTAATTTTTATTTTATTTTTTTAATGCAAACATACCTGATCTATTAAGGATCAGGATCATGGGACAATGTGATGTAGCTGACATTATCAACATATAAAATTACTAAAATCATTTACACTTATGTGCCAAAAAAAGTCAAGTTACACTCAACTGTTACTTAAATTACAAAAACATCTGGTTCTTAATGTGTGTTTTTTTTTTTTTGTTTTTTTTTAATGACATAACAAAATATATTATCTGACTGTTATTACCTGCAATAAATTAACACTTTATGTTCCCACTTTTCACTATGCTAATAAAAAAAATGCAACTGTTTACAAATCAAAGACAAATAAGATTTGCAATGTAGACTTTGTTTTCAAATCCTCCACTTTATATACACATGAAATTATAACCATTAGGAAGATTATTTTTTTTTTTTTTTATCTATTAAACCTACTTATTTAAAAAGTATTCTTATAAGATGATCACTTTTAATAAGCAATGCACAATGAAAAAATATATCTTGTGTTTAAGTTTATATGATGGAAGAATTTCAGCAATTACTGAAGGATGTGATGGGCATTTTCTCCAGTAAGCAATAATTCCTCAAGTGAGACAAAAGAAATCTGGTGTTTTGCCAGACAATATTAAGTTTTTTTTTTTTTTTTTGTTTTTTTTTTTTGTTCCCCAAACCATTAAGTTCCTGTTTTTGTTATCAAGCAATGCTTAACTCTTTTATCACATGAGAAATCTTAAATATTTATACCACAGGTAATTGTTACATGATGAAATGACATTATGTATTTGAGTCCGAATCATCTGATAAAAGCATTATATGAGTGATCAAACCTCGGAAGACTGTACTTAACCATACCACAACCTAATTAACTCCCCCTGCCCTAAAAAAAAGATTATGCCTGTCACTCAGGTGGTGAAAATAACTGACATTGGACACATGTAATCATCATTGAAGAAACTGCTATGAGCCATGTCTGTATCCCAGCACAATAAACAATTAAAAAAAATAAAAATAATAATCTGTTGTTTTGTTGAAATGCAATCCATGAGAGGATGGGGGGGGGTAGCTAATTATATTGGAAGGTAAAAAAAAACTATGTACAGATAAAAACTTAGAGCAGAATACAGGAGCTGCATTGTTACATAAGGGGTTATCACAGATTTCATAAATATTATGTTGCAAACTTTACTTGCATATTATTTTCTCATTTACTGTATAGAAATGTGAGCCAAACTAGTTTAGTGCTTTAGCTTATAAGTCTTGTCATTTGTGTACCGTCTTTTCAGAAAAAAAGCATCTGGTTCACTTATAGTAGATGGGTTCTCCTGTGGCTGATTAGATCAACACAGGAATGGCACACTTAAGAAGTAGGGCATCTAAAAAGATCTTGAATAATAAAGGAAGAATCTTGCATGCGATATATTTGACTGTTTCAATAGGTCCCACATACAACTGGCTGAACACGCATGAAGTGCACTCTAAATGATGTTAACTGTGTCAGAAGTTTGGGGATTCTCTTTATTTTTTATTTTTTTCTTAATGGCTGTAAGATAGTTGTTGAAGTCTAGGGTTCAAAGTGGCAATCCATTTGCATAAAGGGGAAGAAAATAAATGAAAAAGGGGATAAAGTACCTTTTTTTTTTTTTTTTTTTTTTTTTTTTTGTTGTCAGAAACCAGATATTTCTGTTGGCAGCCCTATATAAGCCAGACAGAGTAGTTGTCTGTCCAACTAGTCATGGCAGTAGCCATCACGAGGCTGAAGTAAGAAGAGTGGAAGATACCTATGTGCCATTTACCTACTCCCAGAGAGAATAGTGGGTCCAATCAGGAAACCTCATTGAAATAAAAACCAAATTATTCAGGACTGGATTTGTCTCCATTTTTTTTTTTTTTATGTTGATTTCATTTGGTTTTTGTGAAATTACAGCACAGCAAGTATTTTTCAGTGTTTGTACACACTGTGCAAACCTGAGGCAAAACGTAATATAGGGATTGATTTGTTCAAAAGGCAAAGAGCCCCCCCACACACACACACTGTACGTTTACATACCTATTAGATCAACCTTGTTTTGGTTTTAACAGCATCCATCCAGACACATCACCAAGCATCCCAATTGCCAACCATCTTTTTAATTGGCTAGGTTTTGTATGGCTGTGAATTTTGTGTACCATACCATCACCATTTCTGAATTCTTGAAGGATTCAACATTTCCTGCCTACAAAGAATGCTCTTGTTACATTGGGATATGGTACCACATGTTGAAATTCAGAATCCTTCACAATCAACAATCATTAAAGCTATAATTGCTGATTGGCACAGCTATGTAGGATTGGCCACTTTACTTGCACGCCCGAGAACTAACTTCCACCACATGTTTTCTCAGATAAAATGGAGCCTGGGGAAAGGGACCATCAGAGATCAGTACAAGCAATACAGGACCACATCTGGGCCATTGTATTTTTATTTTATTTATTTATTTTTTTTACTAATATTCACTCAATACAAGGCCCAAGAGCCACTCAAAATAGAGGGTTACTCTGTGGACTATTATTAGTGTAAGAAAGGTCAAGTATTAAGGAAATAGAGTAGAAGTAGACTTAAGAAGGAACCAGAAAATCAATCCTAAAAAGGAAACGAGATAAACTTCTACTCCTGCTCAAAAGATAAGGGAGAAGTGTGAACCGGATGATAGGCAAATCTATCTATTATTCAAGCCAAATGCAGGAGACAGTTGATAGATTGCTTTTCTATTAAGCAGTGGTTAGTGAGCTAGTGTTATAGATTAGTACTATATAAGCAAGTTCAAAACTCACCAGGTCTCTCATATGGCTTTACATCAAACAGTTCCAAACTTAGTTTCATTAAGCTGGTCTACTCCTTGGTTGAAATAGCTTTTAGTATTTCTTACCTACCAGAGTCTAAAAGCTAGGACTGTTTGAATAGTACAGGTTTTTATTTAATATTTTCCAAAGTTTGTTTTATTCAATCTATAAAGAATACTAACCAATTTTTTAACTTTGAGCTTGTCATTTCATTTAGTTTATGATGTAACGAAAATGGTTGAGGCTGGTATGGCCATCTTCATGACTGGAAAAGTTACATATTTCCCCCACTAATGTTAGAGATGTGTGTTGAATTCCAACTACAAGAGTCAAGATGGTAATTTTCTAGGTGGGCTGGTGTTCCTGACTCAGATTATTGTTGCACAATTTTTCTCCTCTAATTCCCATCTCCTATTTGATCTTGTGGCTTACTAAAATCAGCTGAGTAAATATTAAGTTTAAGTGTATAGTTGATTTGAGGAGGCATGGTGGAGTAATGGATAGCAGCTTGGATTGAGGAATCTGAGAGCCGAGTTCAAACTGTGGTTGAATCCATTACATTCACTTATGTGCTAATACCCTTGGGAAAAGTATGAATCCTCTTCTCTCCTCCCCTCCCCATCTAGCTATGGGTAAATAGCAGGACAGACCGGGTTCTATAGCCTTGAATGGCAACTGGTCTATTGCAGAAAGAAATGGCAACCTACTGTGGAAAAAAATCTGTCTCATCAGTCATGTATTGAAAGATACATGATCGCCTAAGCATGTATCATGCATGGCACATAACTGACTGATAGTTTAGTTTTATTCATAAAAAGAGCATGTATTTATTTCTCTTACTGGTGTGTCTCCTTAGTTATTGATATCGAAGTGGAAAGCCATAAATAAAACATTATACCAGAGTTAGTGCAATCCAGTAAATATTGTGTAACATGTTTTTGCACAAAACGGTTGAGTAATAAAAGTGAAAGTGGCCATTAGAAATGAATAGAAAAATGAAACACTCGTGTTATTGAAAAGAATATTAATAAGATGCAAATTGACTAAATAAAGACACCTGCTTCTTTAAGATAGATGTGTATTTTCCATGATGCTAAAAATTTTCATTTGTATAAACAGTGCAATTATTTTTTTTTTTTTTAAGACTGCTCTAATGACTACAGAATTTGTTTCAGATAATAATGTTTGGTTTTAAGTCAGTTGGAATCATTGTTCACAATTGAGCCTTATGTCTAAGGAGGCCCTACACTACGTCAATCTACTCCAGTTTTATCAAATATATACAATATATTGCAACATCTACCTAACACTACAATGCAGGATTTATAAACGGCGATGGTTTCAATTTTCTTCTGAATTTTTACAAAGCCAGTAGTGTTTGTTTTTATGTTTATATTTTAATTTTTTTTTTTTTTTACTGTACTTGAATATGTTAGCTTTCCACTGTTCTAGAACTATGTCACTGCAAAAGTAAAAAAAAAAAAAAATAGTAAATATTGTATGTCTAATAGTTTCTACTAAGATTTTATTATCGGTACAAAATCTTATTA